GTATCTCAACAACCTTAGAGGTACGTGCTCCTTATGATGCAAGTCCTTTCGCTCCTGATCAGAAGTGTGTGTTCTAAGCAGCTGCTATTTTTGGAGGCATAGCTCAAATCCCTTTGGGAGTCCCATCTTCCAACTTACACTGCTTCAGATGACATGCGCTAGGACACTGGGTAGCATAGGGTATGGGACTCTGCATTCTTGTCACAGCTCTAGTTTAACAGTGTGTCTTTAATTGTTTAATTAAAAGGAAACAATACACCCTGTCTGTCTTCCATCTCTGTTGGACTGGAATCTGGAGTTCAGGAAGGGAGAGGAACAGGCAGGCAGCCAAATCAATGAGTGTTCTTTATAGATGTGAACTTCACCTTTATGCAGCTGCTGAATGGAGGAGGAAGTCTGGAAAGTTGTTGAAAAAAGGTTTGTCAGTGGGAGGGAGCAGTGGCTTATCTTGGCACAATAAGACCTTTTAACTTGGATTCAAACTGCATTTGCAGGCAGTGTGAAATATTAGCCCAACCACTAGACCTGAAAGCAAGTGAGAAGTGGGCCATCATCCGTATCTTCGAGGCAACTGCATGCCTGAAATAAACCTGCTTTTTGTTTCCTCTTGAAACCTGAGAGTTCTTCTTTCTGTGTGTTTTTTGCAGACTTGGGAAGACCCAGGTCACAAAGATGAAAATACTGGCTGCTGTGGAGATAATGACCCAATCGATGTGTGCGAAATTGGAAGCAAGGTAATGCATTCTAAAGAGTAACTGTCTTTTGAAACGTGTAATTAATGTCTCTGCAGTCAATTATCCAGAGACATTAGTCAGTTCCAACCTCCTCTACCTTAAGAATATGATGTTTCCCTCTGCTGCCTCTGGAGATTGTTGATGAGATCTTACAGCGAGAGCCTTGTGAGCCAGGGCTCGTGAACCGCTGATAAACGACAGCTAATTTTGTGGTACCCGGCTGCTTGCTGAACTCTCACAGCTTGCACAGTCTCCTGTTGTGCATTCCTTGGATACATCGGTACAGACAACAAGGTCTTTGTCCTTGCAGATCTGCTCTCGAGGAGAAGTCATCAAAGTGAAGGTGCTGGGCACACTGGCACTGATTGATGAGGGAGAGACAGACTGGAAGATAATCGCTATTAACGTTGAAGACCCTGAAGCAGACAACTATAATGGTAAGTAATGGGAGGAAGGAGCAGGCTTTGTACTGCCCTCTTTTTTTTCTTTTTTTTTTTTTTTTTTCCCCTCTGTTGAGAGCCTGCAGGAAACTTTCAAGTCAGGACATGGGCTTCCTCCTTCTATGCCACGGTATTCATCAGATGTGATACTGGAAGGACAGCAGAATAGGATGTTATCAATCCTATAGCAAAACATTTTGCTGCTGTTTATCCCAAATTGTCAGTCCTCTGCACAGCCTGGCATCTTGAGGAACAGCGTAGCTGGACAGCCTGTCCTCTGAGTGGAAGGAAAGGGGTTGTCCAGTAAGTCTCTAATCAAAGCTGTTTAAATGTGTCCATGCTCCTGGGGGCAATCAGGACATACTGTGAAGATGAAACACTAATTTCCCTCTGTGTCCACTTTGTGTCTTCACTGTAACCTGGCTGAAACGGTGCTAAGGCTACATGAGGAGGGACTGAAAGAGGGGCAGCTCAGAAGAGCAGGGTAGTAGCTAAGTAACTTCTGTTACTAGATCTGGCTAACAAACCTTTTCTCTGTGGCTAGATATCAGTGATGTCAGAAGGATGAAACCTGGATACTTAGAAGCTACAGTGGACTGGTTCAGAAGATACAAAGTACCTGATGGAAAGCCAGAAAACCAGTTTGCTTTTAATGGCGAATTTAAAGGGCAGGTAGGATCACCCTTCTTCGTTACTATGAGCGTGCAAAGGTATGCTGTCCAAAAACTGAGCTCAAGTCACGTGGGGATGTGAATGAGTGGTTGCTGAGAGAATGGATTTCTTTCATCTGACTTCATTCTTCCTGCTGTTTTGCCAGCCTACCATTCTGCTTGTTTCCAGCCCAGTGCTTGCAGGAACACTAGGAGAAAAAGCGTAGGGTTATCACCCGGCTGCTGTTGGATATTATTATTAGCCTTTCTTCTAGATGGCATTCATGTGGGATCAGTTATGGGCTGGGAGCCTCCGTGTCAGAACCAGGATGGAAAACGCCATATTTATTTGCTCCTGCTCTGGAGCAAAGGGTTCTTGGCATCACCCTTTGCCTCCCTTGCTCACTGGCTTTGTTCCACTGCAGCCTGGTGCAAGTTGAAGTTAACTCAGGAGTTAAAATGCTTCTTTCTTCAGGCATGAAGTGTTCCCTCACGCCCTTTGAGTAGGGCTCTGCCTTGGCAACGGTATTCCTCTGCCTCTTCTCTGGGTTGGATCCGATAACTTCTCCTGAATGGGAGAAATTCTGCTTCTGTGCCCTCCCTCCTGCCAGTCCTGGTGTGCCGTGAGTGGGTTAGTGAGGTGACTCAACTCTCAGAGCTCCAGAGTCGGTGTGGAGAAGGGGAGGGCCTGCAGAACCTGGTGTGGGAAGGAAAGGGTAAGGGGGGGACTAAAAGGAAAGTCACGTGGGAGTGGACTTGTCCCCTTCGACTCAGCAGTAGGTTGGGTAGGCTGGGACATCTCACTGCCCCTCAGGATGGGTGAAACTGTAATCAAGGCCGAGGCGGCAAACAGGGACAAAGAACCTTGCGCGTGTTCCCGCAGTGTTTTATTTGGCTCTGTGTGGTATCAAACCAGGATATTTATTGCTGAAGTTCATGCTAACAAAGAATTGTGTGTGCTTCCTTCTCCAGCTGACAGGTCAATGCTTGAGCATATACTACTGTTTTTTTTTTTTTTAAGGGGGAAAAAAAGCTGTGATATGCTTGGAAGCAGATTCGCTTCAAAATAGTTGCAGAGCTAGATTGGGTGCATGTCTTTTCCTGTTGATCTGTGCAGCAGTTGAATGACTTGCCTGGTGTGGAAGAAAGCTTGCAGATAGGTCGGGATCAACTAGCTGCTGGAGACAACTGTGTAGGAGGAGCAGCGGGGTGGAGGTAATACACCACTGGCCTGAGACTGGAATATCTGCGTTCAATTTCTTTTGGCCTCAAGGTCACTACGTGGCCTTGGTGTATCCTGCCATCTTGAAAATAAAACAATCTGTATTGTAAAATCCCCGTTGTTTCAGCTGTTGTGCACTGGGAGGTTGTCGCTGTTCCTGAAAGGTGCGGTAATGGACGAGGTCTCTGAGTCCCTTCCAGAGTTAGAAACTATCTAAAATCAATCAGCCTATGAATGGCCTCTCGTTCCATGTGGCTGATAGTCTGGAGAACATGGTTTCATGCTTCCACATAACATGATCGTTGTTCTCCTCTTCAACTTTAGGATTTTGCCGTGAGCATCATCAAAAGCACTCATGAACACTGGAAAGCTTTAATAGCAAAGAAAACTGACGGAGGGGAGATCAACTGGTAGGTTAATGCTTGTGATACTGTGCACGTTCCCTTCCCCTCAACAAATAACCCTGAAACTTCCTTTCCTGAGTGGTGCCATGCTTTCTGTTAGCTGTTGGGTGTCTCCACAGGCCTTCCCCTTCAACTTGGCAACTATAACAATGATTCTTAATATTCCGTTATTTAATACTCTTGAGGGAGAGACTTGGCTTTCATGTTCTCACAAGCAACTTCTCTTTTCTAGCACAAATCTGACGGTGTCCGACAGCCCTTTCTGCTGTAGTCAAGAGTGTGCAAAAGCTACTGTGGATGCAGTAAGTACAAATTTCAGTGTCCTAAACCCAACATTAGTATCGGGCAAAATTACACGATTTGTGTGGTACCGTAAACTGTTCCCTCTGTGTGAATAGCACATTGTATGCTCAGAATTTTTTGGATGGCTGAACACAGCACCTGTCTCTGGTTAAACAGGATGGATGTGGAGCAAGCCAGACGTTCCTCCAGAGGCTTCTCCTTGCTCTTAGTCATCTGGGAGGTGGAATCCAAAACAGAGTTTGCATGAAGGGCTAAACTTCTGAACCATAGCTTGGCTGTCAGCTCAGCTGTTCGGGGAGTGCTTAAATATTTGGCCTTCCAAGAGCTTCACAGTACACCCTTTGAGAGAAGAAAGTCTGGATTCCAGAGAGCCTTGCAGCCAGGGACCTTGCATCCTTTGCAGTAAAAAACTTGAAGCTCCAAGTGCTGTGCTCCTATCCAGTGTCAGGACTTAACTGCATCTCCCTTGGCTTGTGAAGTACCGCTGTTGGTGACTTGAAAGGGGTTAGAGGAATGGGACAGGAAAATCAAAATGCGAATGTATGGAAATGCGACTGGAAATTCTCTGTTGCCTTGGAGAGACTTTTAAAACCATTGTATTGGTTTTAAAAGCGCTTGTATCCTCTGGTGGTATCCAAATTACTTTGTAATTACTTTTTTGAAAGTGCAACTCTCATGGAAGACGTGTCACCAGCTGGGGACCCTTGTCTGTATTTGGTTGTTAAGCATCAGGTGAAAGCTCTTCAGAGGAGTTTTCTCAGAGTCCTTTGTACTTCTATTCCACCATCATGTTGCAGCTTTAAAAAGAGCAGGCTGCCTGCAACTGTAGAGACACTGGAGCAGTAACTGCTTGTGGTGAGAAGCAGATGGCACTGCAGCCTGTGCTGAGAGCAGAGCACCTCTGGCATGTAGGACATCTGTGGAATGAGGAGGCTGTGGGGATGACAGGACTCATGCTGCATGTGAGCTCATTTATTCCCTCACAGCTGACCAGCACTGGCTGCCACAGACCAATTTACACCGCTTAGATCTTAAACCATGCTCAGTAAAGACTGGTGCAGCTCTAAATGATGTCTAGTGAGCTTCAGGCCTAAGGTCAGCCTCCATCAGTAGTTGATAATCTGCTCATACACTTCTCGTTTCAGGCACCACCATGTAAAGCTGCCAACCCAATCCCACCCGAAGGTAAGTCTCACAACCCACATTTATGTTCCAGTGCAGAGTGGAGGCTTCCTCTAAGGAATTATCAATAGGAAAATGAGGGTCTTAACTGATAGCTAGGTATGGCTCTAGCACTAGGAGAAATGAAGGACCTTGTTGGACCTAACTTGTGTCAGTAAAGCTGTTTAATTCCTGAGTATCTCCTGTTGTTGCCTTATTTCCTTGTTTGGGTACATGAGGTGGGTCAATGAGCAGTAAGTAAACCTCTGAGGTGCCATAGTTTGCTCCAGAAGAGATTGGATTTATAGCAGGTCCCAAGAGAGCAGCACTGCAGAGGACTGAAGTGCAGTGATAGCAGAAGTGTGGTTTTAGTTCCTCCAAAAAAGGGGTTTCATCAGTATCCTCAGTGCAGGTGAGCGGAGGAAGGGATGTACTCTCTACCTGTGCAGAGCAGAGGCAGAAATGGGTCACATGTTTGATGCTTCAGTTGCCGCTGAACCCACTGATCAGAGCTCTGTCACTGAACAAGTGCCCGCTGCGGGCTGGTAACAAGCCTTTTGGTGCCTCGGGACAGGACTCAGAAAAAAAACTGTCAGAAAAAAATTGTCAGAAAACAAGAGCTGTGGGGGGAATCCTTGCTCAGCTATCATCTTTTCTGGGCAACAGGCACCTGGTATGTGAGGTCTGGATGCTTGCTGTAGCAGGGACAAGACCTGAGGGCAAGCACAGGCTAATGAGGGTGTTGAGAACCCACCGCTGTGGCAGGAAGAAGAGCTAGGCTATCATTTCCAATCTCTTCATGGGTAATAAACCTGCAAAAGACATTTGATGTCTTTCGTGTGGGCATGGGAGTAAATGACTTTACCTCCCTGAGTCAGCTGAGCCAGAGGGAAGCAGAGCTGGCTCTAGCTTGCTGTCCTCACCTGAACAGAGTCACGTGTAGAGTGAGTGAGGGTGACTTCTTCAGGAAAAAACAAATACAGGTAAACAGGGCTACACAAGAACCTGTGGGGTGCGCGGTGGTGGTGCTGACAGGAGCGGGAGGAAGTTCCTGCGCTGGAGATGACGCACGCAGTGCCTTGTGACTCCTTAATAAGTGGGTGGCTAACAGAAGACTAACTCCCTCTGGTTTTTTTGGTTTTTTTTTTTCTGCCCTACACAGTTGACAAGTGGTTCTACTACCAGAAGAACTAAGGCCTGAGGATGGGTGGTGAAACAGCTGTGTCCTTCCCACCGAAGAGTTGCTGCACGCAGGAATAGACCAGAAAAATAGCTTCAGTGTCAACAAGGAGACCTTGCCTGCAGCTTTGCCGATTAGAATTACCTATCTAGCAGTGACGTGTCTGCTGCATCTGAGGTCTCGTGGGAGGTTAGAAGACATAATTTATTAAATCAAAACACCCTGTTTGTGCATGGTTGTACAGTGTACTCTCAATCGTGACAGAAGATCACTCGCCTGGTACGTGTATGGATGTTATAAATAAAAACTACCGCAACGGAACTCTGCGGGGCTCCTTCTCCTTTCCCTCGCTGTAGGAGAGCTCTGGACCCGAGGGCAGAAAAGTGCCCCTTAGAGGAATCTGCGCTGGGGGTTGTTTTGGGGGGATTTCTAGGGTAATGTGGTCTCGTGTACCTGGAAGGGGGGGGCTTTGA